CGGGGCTGTGACTCGTAGGCTTGCAATAAGGTCCAGTGCTGTTGCAGGATATGAGGAGAATGGTGGTGGCGCTGACGATGAAGTCTACCCGAGTTGTCAACACCACGACTAGCTCCCACGACAACACGCCCAATTGCTCGATACCCATACATCAAGCAATTTTCAGGGTCCAGATGCATCTCTTATTCTTTATTTAGCAGAACTTAATTCTCGAGGCGTCCCTGAGACTCGGCCTTACTTGAGCCATGGCTGCTGGCAGTGCAACCGCCCAGAACGAACTCGTTCCGTGCAGACAACGCCTCGTCAACCAGCCATTTTCCAGTATTACTTAAATCCTCTGTCACCCCCCATGCTTCTTCTCTTGCTCTTTCGATTTCCCAGTCATCTCAGTTCGTATCCAGCCTTGAGAAGATATCCAAGCTCTTGCCAACTTGTTGCTTTAAGCTTCATCACTTTGATACTCTTCGCTTACACACGCTGGATAACTCCGACTACACATCATATACGAATAGAGTCCAATTCTTGGTCTCGCAACGATATATTCCACGTCCATACAGTCTACGGACATTCATATCCTCCATTTCTCACTTCGGTCAATCTACGACCTCAACCCCAACAACATCGTCACCATGCCTTCTCAGGGAGATATCAACGTCAACTCCTTCGAGGACCACCTCGACTCCATCATGGGCCCGATGGGCTTCCAACGTCCCTTTTCCCAATGGCAGCAAGACTCCGACACCAACGGGGTTACGGAGGCCCCCAACGCCGACGACGACTCAGCCATCGAAGATCCCGCCGCCGCCAACAATGAGAACGACCCGAGCGTCCTCCCGGCCAACCTCCCCGAGCCCGGCACCGGCAGCCGCCGCCAGCAGCTGGCCCAACCCCAGGCCCAGCACTCCCGCTACGGCCAGGCCGAATACCGCCTTGGCCCCCGCAAGAAGGTCAGCCTGACCGACCCGGAGCTCGACTTTGAAATATTCGAGGACGAGACGGCCACCGTGGGCGCGCCCTTCAAGCCGGACTACTACGGCAGCAGCGTCCCGGCCCTCGGCGAGCGCAACAACCTGGAAGACTTCGACTACAGCGTCGAGCACCAGCTTCGACGCCACTACCACCAGTTGCTGGACCAGGCCATTCGCACCGACGACGAGACCCTCTACGACCTCATTGAGAGGGTCAGGGAGCAGCGGTTCACCACCTGGCAGCGATTTTCGGGCGCCATCGAGTGGATGGCCGGCAGCGACCCCATGGATGTCTGGCTTTGGGTCGAGGACAAGGGGTACCACCGCCGCTGGACCGACGAGCAGATTGTCCGGTTCAAGGAGTTTCTGCAGTTCATGAAGACTTGCATCCTCAGCGCCATCGGCATGGAGGACGAGGTTGCGGCGAAGAACCTGGACGACTGGAACACCTCGCTCCTCAATGGCCGGTTCAAGGGCCTGGGGCTGACGAATCTGTGCATGCTCAAGCACAACGAGATTCGGGTCTCTTTTATGCCGGATGGGCTTGATGAGAAGCTGCTCTATCGGGCGGATTTTACCCCTGAGGAGCTTGAGATTCTCGATGCTGGCTGGGGAGGGCCGGGACGGTGGGCTCCGGGAGAGGAGCTGGAGGCTCAGGGGAACGAGGAGAGTGAGGAGAGCGACGGGGGAAAGGAGTCGGAGGAGAGTGAGGAGAGTGAGGAGAGTGAGGAGAGTGAGGAGAGTGAGGAGAGTGAGGAGAGTGAGGAGAG